ACATAATGCCCATTTTTGTCATCATCCCACCATGGCGGAGAGCCTCTTTCAGCAAATCCTCTTGCATACAAATGACTGAGGTCTGTAGGCGCTGCTTGATGCCCATAACTTGACATGCTTCCAGTCTCTTGTCCAAGATATACCCTGGTTGGACCTGCAAATAGCCATGTATTCATACTCTGCTGAACAGAAGTCAAAAAGAAATTTATCCCCGATAAATTATATCACATCACAAGATATGGCCACACTATAAATTGATGAAAATTAGCTGACAAGTTTAAATTAGAAATAACTACTAGCGAAGCTGAAGAACAAGGACCCAGAACCACTAATGTTGCACAAGTTTTAGCAAAAGAACAGGCAAAGGAATCACACACATACACATTAGTGCTCGCACACATACACACACCTAGAGAGAAAGAAAAGTCATTTGATTCCATAAACTGGGGCGAGAGAAGCAAAAGAGAGAAAAAATATTTTTATTTCCAGATGCATATAAAGTGTTGATAATTGGTTATCTAATTCACATTTTGAGAAATTATGAAATAGAATATGCAACAATTCTCTTAATAGCAAAAAATGAAGCACACCAACTTTCAACTTTAAAGCAAAATAGTTTTTTTGCCTTGACAAACAATGGCAATAGGGTTGGCTAAGTGCTTTGTCTAGATTGAGAAGGTACGTGACACAAGTGTTTTTTTTTTCTTTTTACCTAGACAAAAAGTGAATAACCATCTCAATCAGAACTTGAACTGTGAAGACTATTTTACTGAAAACTATGAATTTCTTTTGGTTTTTCAATTGAGTTAACAAATTTTACTCAAAAATATGTATTTATTTTATTCTGAAAAATCGCTTGACGAAGGTGACAAATTTTTAGTTTCATCAGTTTGGGAATATGGGTAGGTCGCTGTGGCAAACACATGGTAGTTGTGAAGCTGGAACTGGCTTGCTTATAAACTAAGTTTAGGGTCAAATTCTTTGCTTTTTTACATCTTAAATGAGATAAGCAATCAACACCTAAACCTTGAAAATTAGAAAGGAACAGGAAATCTCACATAATTTACGATTACCAGAACAAAACTTCCCATCAAAAGAGCTTTTTTTTTAATGGAAAGCTTCTTTTTGGTAATTGTAAATTATGTGAATCCTTTCTTCTCAACCAAATAAATGTAATAGCATTGGCACTAGTGAGAAATAAAGCTCAGAGACAATGTACCACATTGTAACGCTTGGACCATATTCATTTCATCCATATGATGAGAGCAACGACTGATGCAGCCATAACGACAGTATTAGATTCATGTTTAAAAGTTGCACATCTGGCCTTGCTAACATTTAAGAAATGGATTCTGTGGTAACTCTTGCAGCTGGAAGCATGAATTAATTTGACAAAATTGATTTTTCCACACAAACTTCTTATACCTTACATCTCTAATGACAAAGCATTTTGAATGACAAACCTTAAAAAAAATTAAAAAATGATGATTCCCCTAATCTTTTCAACTGGGATCTTTCCATTACCCTATATAAAACACTCAATCAACACGTAGAAATGCAGACAAAATTCAAATTTCTAGAATTGCCAAATGAATTACCTATAAAATTTCAGATATCCCCTCTACTATAAAAGAGAGGATGAGAAAGCACTATTCATTTTTGGTACCATGCTTTCACACTTGAACTGGTTTGAATTATTGCCTCTTCTCTTACCTTCAATTTTGCACTGTTGATGAACCAGTTTACTACTGTTGTGCACTGTTCACAAGTACAAATAATTTTTGCACTAGTGATTTATTCATTTTCCAAACCCTAGTAGACTCCCCAAAAACTTCTCCCAATTCTTGAGACTCTCCATTCTTTTGTTCGTTCTTTTAAGAGAACAAACCTAAAGAACCTAAATTATGATCCTTTTGTATTCTTGCTGTGTGTTTTTTGTGCGATATCTTCGGGTTTGTTCAGTTGTACTGTTAAATTTGCAATTTTGTTTCCTTTTCTTTTTCAATCTTTTCTATTCCAGTTAATATTTATTATTAAGAGCTTTCGAAGTGTTTAATTTTATAAGTTTCATTTGTTTCCAACATGTGTAATGAGAGTGTCCTTTTTGATCAAATTGTCAAGTGGGATAATAGTGACATATTCGAATTCTATAAATCTTAAGACCATGGGGTGGATTTATAAGCCTAACGGGGGTACAAATATACATTTTTATTAACAGAATAATCTCTTAACCATACTTTTCATTTGATTTGAAGTATTTGGAATTCAAATGTTAAATTTAGAGTCTTTCTGCCCATTTTGTTTTTTGGACAATTCATTAGCTTTCCTCGGGTTGGTTTGGATAGACATCCCTATCGTAACTCCACACACATCCCTCCCCAAAAAACGGAACTACTCGAAAGAGATAGAAGGGGGAAATTGACCATCAATTGACCATCTAAGAAATTATTGTTTCAACATTGCTTTGAATTCAGATCTACAAAGACGAGTTTTATGTATATCTCGTATGAACAATCATTATATGTTTATTATCCCCCATCTGAAAAAACGAAAAGAAAATGAAGGCTGTTAAGACTCAGAATTGTTTCATCGTGGGATTTTTATGTTCAGCTTTTTTCGTCTCACTTCAATACGATATAATGTAGAGGGTTAGAACAAGTTGGATGAAGTGAAGCATTCTAGGTATATTCTATGTGATCATAAGATGCCATTAGAACAAAAAGGTAAATTCTACAGAGCTGATTAGATCAGCTATACTATAATTGACATGGGTAAAGAATTTGTTTTCGTCTAATACTATGATTGACCGAACGGCCTGGAGGAATAGCCATGTAACCAATCTTTAAATTTACAGGAAATATGGCATACTTTGTTATTGTGTTCTATTTGTTGGATGTGTTTATAATTTTTTTTAAACTTAAATTTTCTAGAACTTAATATTGTAGAATGTTAGTGTTATGTATGGATCATAAGTTTGTTGAATCAGTAAGGGTATTTTGAGTTATTTTATTTGACAGACTTATGTAAAAATAAATTATTTTGATAGTAACCCTCTCTAGGTCAAACAAAGCAACCCCAAACATGCATTATATGTTTTTGTGTTCAAGTCAATTATAGTTGAAGAATGTGGTGGCATCTGGAGTTCTTTACCGGTCTGAGATGGTAAAAATATTCCTGCAAAAAGGTTTAGCACAATTGAATGTGTTTTTAGTTGATAATGATTTCTATTTTCTCTTTTGAGAGGTCGTTTTTTTTTTATTTTTTTATTTTTTTTTTTAAGGGATTTTAAAGTTTTAGACGTTTTGCTATTCTTTGAGGTGTAAACGTTTCTCTTCTGTAGAGCATGGATAGCATTAGCTAATTGCCACAAATAATTAATGTGTAACTTTAATCATTTCAAGTGTCTATTTTTTCACTTTTTTCTTTCTTGTTGATATTGATGGAAATCAATACATTTCAGGCATTGATGAATGGTCAGGAAAGCAAATTCACAGTCACAACTATAGCATTCCAAAGCCTTTCCTAGATCAAGTATGTATCAAGTGCAATGTTTTCCTTTCTCGTTAGAAAATTCAAGTCAAATTTGAAGTGGAATCATTGTTTGGATATTATATCACTTCGTAGAGGCCGAAACAATGTGAAGAATGTAGAATCAGAGATCTGGCCTTTCTTATAAACTCAACATAATTCATTCCATTTTGATGCTGTGTACTCATTTCCTTCTATTGTTTAACATACAACACTCTTAACATGTATATTTACTCATGAATACGTCAGCATTATCTTAAAAATTACACAGCCTGTGCAATTGTACACAGAATGCACAGGCATATACTAGTACCATTAAAAATTTCATATCTTACATCTGTAGTGATATAAAACAGTTTTAAAACGATTGAGGAAATCTCTAATCCTTTCAACTGAAATCTTTCCATTACCCTATCTAAAACACTCGATCACACAAAGAATATCAAACAAAATTCTAATTTCAACAACTGCCACATGAATTACCTATAAAATTTCATTAATCATACTATATTCAAGCAAAAAATTGCAAAACCGGAAATTGACCTTGGAAGGAGCGGGAGAAAGTTGGTCCCAGGCTAATTTGGGGCGCTTGTTTGGACGTCGGTCCATTTGAGAATACAGAAATTCAGCCATGTACTCCATATCTCCATTACAAATCCATTAATCGAAATATGGATAGCGTAATTGTGACTCTTATTTTTGTATCTGAAAATGTGATACCCTAACAATGAACAATGAATAAATGTATGATTTTTCAATTCAGAGCTATTGGGATTCCCAATTTCCATGGGAGGTTTACCGAGATAATGTGCTCTCAGTGTTTAAAAAAATCACTCGTTGCCGACTACTATTTGCTTATAGATTATTTGTTACTAACCCAAATTTAAAGAAAGTTACTCATCAATCACTCATATTAATTTCATAGTTATTACATATAACAAATTTTATTAAGCAAGTTGTAATTTATAACAAAGTTCAATAAGTAAAGAGTAATTTTTTAAATTTCCGATTAGCAAGTAATAACGAAGAACAAACTTCAATGAGAATGATTAAATTAACTCTAAGGTTTACCTCACATAAATTTGTCACTCAATTTTTCTTGATTTTCGTTTAAAACTTATACTATAATATTATTTTAACCATTCTTCTATAGTCAATCAAAATAGGTCGTTTCATTGACCGTCACGATACGTCAATCTATGTCAATCGGTGAAATTTTGTCAAGTTGGTTGAAATTAAATCGACAATATAACCATTAATAACTAATGCTCATCATGTGTGAATATTATTATGATGCCGATACTTTACAGTCTGGTGATGAATATATCGATTGATTTTTGCTTTATTATCGTTGATTCCAATTTGTGACATAAAATCTAGACAATTAGCAAGCTTAATGTACTACATGGATAGGGAAATGACTTTGGAGTGTAATGTGAGGACACAGTTGACAAAAAGCTGAAGTACAGTGACACGATTGTAATTATATACTTTCAAAGCTGTGTCGTTTTAAATTTCCTCGGCATTCCCAGAGGGCAAAATAAACCTATCTTGAACAGCAAAAGCAGTGATTTATCGGAGGTTCCATTTGAGAGAGAAATTTTGTTGATTGATTGGTAGCAGAGATTGAAGGACATGGTGAAAATGGGTACATTTTTTGGGATGTCACTTGGAGCCTTCATTTTCTGGCAGACCATGGACAAAGTCCATGTCTGGATCGCCCTTCACCAGGACGAGAAGGTACTCGAACCCCAACCCGTTTTTGTACGTATATATATTTGTATTTGACTATATGTGATTGGTTTAGGGTTTACCGTGGCCAGGATTGAATTGTGTTTGAAACTTACGTATGGGTAACCTCGTTTTTAAGGGGTTAATTTTGATAAAAAGGAAAATTGATTTGCAGATTTGACTTGGATCTGTGTTTATGTATTTTTATGAATTATCAATTTCGATATTAGTTCTTATCTTCAACCCCCATCTCTAGACCTGTTAGATGTGGAAATAGAGATTTTAGAATAGTAAATTGAGGGTACAAAATTTGAGCTTTTGTGAAACAAATTTTATTTGCGAAGTTCTAAGGAATTTGTCTATACATTTCTCGTGAACTTCGCCAAACTCAATACCAGTGTGAGTACAGATTTTTGTTACTTTTCACGAATCTATATTATGATGAAATTTCCATCACTAGCAATTGTGTTTAAACCATTTTCTACCGAGTCTGGTTTGCGGAGGTACACTAAGGAAGCTACATTCGGGTTTGGACGTCATAGCCTATAGCTGAAGAAACAGATGGACAGTAGAAGAGTTTACTATTGAGATTAGAAGTTTTGTGGGGGTAAACTGCATCCACCGAAGTCTTGATTTGGGAGAAAGAAAAGTGGGTTACAAAATGCTGAAATAACAAATGAGACATGAAGAGCAAATGACCAAATGTTCAGTTTTCTTAACAGGGTTGATTATTTATCCCCCGATCACTCAATTCATGTTTAATCATTTTGTAACATACTTTGACCATATGCAATTCTCTTTAAACTTCCTCTTATCAAATTAAATAGTTGCCCTTATTTGCGATGCTGTGTTGCACGCATTTGCAGCATTTATACCTTTATTCTTCTGCCATTGACGGGTATGCTGGACCAAGGCGCTACACATTTTGCAAGTCATGGACCAGACGTAGACCCCATTAAGCTATAAATTCCGTAACCTTGACTGAAATCAAATAGATAAAAACAAACTAATCCCCAAGAAGTCGAAAATGTATAATGATGGCAGGATGAGAGAAGAAAAAGATTATGTCAAACAAATAATTGCACCACCACAGAAGAGTTTCTATATGCCAACAGAAAAAGGTCATGATATAAAAAGTACAATATGCACTGAAGGACAAACTGAGAATCCCAGATTTTGGGAGATAGACAACTCAGAGAAGAAAGTCTATGATATACAGTATTGTATACTGTAATACATGCTCAACGCAGCAAAATCAATATTCAGGCCAACAATATGTGCTCTTTATCAAAACCTTGAGAATGGTGGCTGACATCCTGTATTGTATACTGTAATACATGCTCAACGCATGGTGGCTGACATCCAAAGCACGAACACCATCATTTATATATCATGGAACCATGGAGATGACCAAACAACTGCTTTTTAGGACCTGTACCCATATCTGGAAAAGAAAGGATGCATCAGGCTTCGTGAGCAGTCATCCTGACAGAAGCCTCATGCCGAAGAAGTCCTTGCAAGAGGTCTATAAGATCTCCAGCTGAATGATCCATATGCTGCATTAGTATATTCTGCAATGGTAACGAAAACATCAACTCTACCGTACTAATTCAGGGATCAGGTTGGCTAAGGCTTCAGAGAGTTCTTGCTCATTGGCAGGAGAAGGTAAAGGTATTCTACCAGAATTGGACAAATTGGTTTCTCGAGGGCTGCAAGTACAGAAACATGCTTAAAATAATGAAATGAAAATGTTTATGAATGTGAATTGACGAAAAAACCTTAAGGATACACAATGGACCAAGGAAAATATGATTTAACATAAGTTCTCTCTTAATGAAGGATGTCTAATATTATGATCTCTGTTTGTCAAGTTAAAATCACTAAATACATCAGCCGTTCGACACTTTCAAATGTCAAATAACATGGATAAAGAGAATAAATGGACAAGTTCAATTTTAAAAAAATGCAAATTACACCTGTCAATCATCCACTATATCCACGAGCCAGCCTAAAATGTTGATTTAGAAATTAAATTTCCAAGACAGGCGATCTGATCTAAGAATCCACACCAAAGATTACCTAAATTTACAAAATGCTAAGGGTAAACCAAAACAAAAACGTAGAACCAACCTGAAGGCGAGTTAGCTTTGATACACCCTCAATGCTTTCTCTTGAAGTTGCACCTTCAGGCCAGTCCAACCTACCCCATTTTATATATTTCTAAGCCTGCCGACTAAGACAATGAAACAACCGGAGGAAAGGAGACAATCAATAATTAGCAAAACAAATGATAGAAATGAGAAATAAATTTCAAGTTCAATCAACATATATTGGGGTAGAGGACCCAATACTCTCTCCATCATGGGCAGGTGCTCTAAATTCTCATGAATCTGAAATAAAGCTTCACCCTGCAAAATCATCAGGTTTAAATTAGGTTCCCCCCATGCATCCAGTCATACAGTTGTTTGACCAATAGATGAAAAGTTAAAGCTGAATCATCAGAAATACCGAGCATAGTCAACCAAGATGCAACCAACACTCCATATATTGCATGGATAGCTCCACCCAAGTCCTTAAATAGACACAGAAAGCCTCAGCTTAGCAATGAAGAACACCGCATCAAAGTAAGAGGTGACTCACAGGAAAACTTCAACATACCAACAATAACCTCAGGTGCACGATAATGTCCAGTGGAAACAATATAATTGTGATCTCGACACCCACAGACTGCACTACAGAAGTCAATAACCTTAACGGCACTTGACTTTAGTAACCTCCTATAAGCAGACACATCTCTTGGCCAAGATGCAATCTGCAAATGCAGGATAGCAATGAAATAAACAGCTCATAGAAAAGAGTCTTGAGGAAAGAAATGAAGTCTGAATTTAAGAAAAACTAATTCACACGGTGAAAACTCTTAGACTGGCGTACCCTGAAGTCAGGTATTTTTACAATTTTACGTACTCTGGAGAGACAAAGAGTATGTTCTCTGGCTTCAAATCGGTATGGATAAGACGCATATCATGCATGACTGCAACAAAAGCCAGCCAAAGCATTCAGAGCATCAGAGTTTTGTTTCAGATGAGAGAACTGTATAAAAAATGAAAAAAATGGATGCATGCCAATCAAAGTTGCTAAAACAAGAAGACTTCCAGCAAGATCCCTAGAATGAAATGAAAAGCGATAGGATCAGGTACTATAATGGTTGCCAAAAGGATGAAAAAATATAGTAGAATGGTAGAGGTATTGACCACAGACATCCTACACATTCCAAAAGTTGTCTGCCAATCTCACAGACTAGATCAACAGGAAATGAGCAATGACTGTTTTTCCATAGAAAATTTAATAAGCTCCGTCCAAGCTTCTCAAATACCTGAGCAGACCGTTACATTCATCCACAAGTCTTGATTCCCCAAAAAGTTGAAAAAAATGAGGAATTCATGTTACTATGAATCGACATTATACTTACTAAATAAATATGGTTACGATAATCAAACCAATTCCATCATTCAATACAACTGCAAAAAATAAACTTTTTAGCCACCAATGCAAATTCGGCTTGATATGAATAAAGCCATAAAAACTGGAACTCACCAGCTATATTATCATTGTGACTGTAAACTTGCCAGCTGCCATTTCTGTCACATCTACCAAGCAACTGAAGCACGTCAATTTCAACCATTGCTGCTTCACGATACATCTTAATGCTTCGGACAATTTTTATTGCAACCAATTCCTTTTGTTCCTGTCCCAGCATTCCAAAACTTGACCAAATGTACCTATAAAATGAGATATAAGATTTTAGACATGAAATGAGAAAATGACCAACATGCGTAACCCATTAAATATATTACAAGGGAGACTAACCTTCACCAATCTTTCTCAGGATCTTATCTGGAATGCAGCACAAAGTGGAGATATAGTGCGATACACATTTAAAAGAGGAAGTAATTAGATACTTGTGCAGATCAGAAATTGACATATATAATTCAAACAGCATTTTGATGATAGTTGAATATGGGTTATCATTTCTTTCCTATTGCATTCAAAGCCATTTCCTTCTTTATTTTTTCTGCCTTATTTTCTTTATTTTTCTTCTCTTTTGGGGAAATGGAGATGAATAGGTATGTAACATCATTTTTGAGATATCTAGTAGAAAAAGGAGAAAAAAACAGACACAATGCCATAACAGGTCAAACAGACTGGAGCAATGCTAGACGAGAGAATATAAGATGCCTTTATCATGAAGAGAAAATAAAATTACAGCAAGAGGTTAAATTCTCTCCAAACTCAAATACATAATACCCATTTTTGTCATCATCCCACCATGGCGGAGAGCCTCTTTCAGCAAATCCTCTTGCATACAAATGACTGAGGTCTGTAGGCGCTGCTTGATGCCCATAACTTGACATGCTTCCAGTCTCTTGTCCAAGATATACCCTGGTTGGACCTGCAAACAGCCATGTATTCATACTCTGCTGAACAGAAGTCAAAAAGAAATTTATCCCCAATAAATTATATCACATCACAAGATATGGCCACACTATAAATTGATGAAAATTAGCTGACAAGTCTAAATTAGAAATAACTACTAGCGAAGCTGAAGAACAAGGACCCAGAACCACTAATGTTGCACAAGTTTTAGCAAAAGAACAGGCAAAGGAATCACACACATACACATTAGTGCTCGCACACATACACACACCTAGAGAGAAAGAAAAGTCATTTGATTCCATAAACTGGGGCGAGAGAAGCAAAAGAGAGAAAAAATATTTTTATTTCCAGATGCATGTAAAGTGTTGATAATTGGTTATCTAATTCACATTTTGAGAAATTATGAAATAGAATATGCAACAATTCTCTTAATAGCAAAAATTGAAGTGCACCAACTTTGAACTTTAAAGCAAAATAGTTTTTTTGCCTTGACAAACAATGGCAATAGGGTTGGCTAAGTGCTTTGTCTAGATTGAGAAGGTACGTGACACAAGTGTTTTTTTTTTCTTTTTACCTAGACAAAAAGTGAATAACCATCTCAATCAGAACTTGAACTGTGAAGACTATTTTACTCAAAACTATGAATTTATTTTGGTTTTTCAATTGAGTTAACAAATTTTACTCAAAAATATGTATTTATTTTATTCTGAAAAATCGCTTGACGAAGGTGACAAATTTTTGTTTACAGAGTTTCATCAGTTTGGGAATATGGGTAGGTCGCATGGTAGTTGTGAAGCTGGAACTGGCTTGCTTATAAACTAAGTTTAGGGTCAAATTCTTTGCTTTTTTACATCTTAAATGAGATAAGCAATCAACACCTAAACCTTGAAAATTAGAAAGGAACAGGAAATCTCACATAA